GCGCCACAACATCTTGGTCTTCATATCTTCTCGCCATGAAACTTCACTTGTTGGCCAATCTTTCAGGATTCAGTCCTCCGGTAATTCGACAGTCTGTAGGTGTCCCAGAGACAGTCAAACTTCACCTTCGAAGAGATGGGAAATAAAAACTATTCAGCTTCATAAATAGAGGACGTTCACTTTTTTATGAGCTTGAAAGCCTAATTACATTTCATTTCAAAGTTCACTATCAAGCCCAACTTTTATACTTTAGAAATGAAGACCAGGATGCTGTTTCCTTGGATTTGACCGCTGACTTCCTTCCCCGTATATATATATATATATATATACTTATTTATTTATTTATACTTGTATATTTAATTACTTATTTATTTGTGTGATTGTGCCTGCATACTTTGAAATCTTTTTGTAGTCAATTAAAAGTTAATATTTTGTGTGATGCATTTTTGAGAAACTGTTGTAATGATTCTACATCTTTGGAGCATCATGGAACCTGGCTTAAACATATATATATATATATATATATATATTCTCTTTTTTACTTTTCTATTCTCTCAGATTTCCTTTCCTCATAACCAGCATTCTCCTATTGGCTTCAGACAGGCAGCGTGTCAAGGACATTGATCCGGCCTTCCAGTATGGTTCGGCTCAGGTGACGTCTGGGAGCAGTCTTGTTTTGCTATACCCTTAACAGATTATTGTTTCTCTCTCTATCTCTCTCTCTCTCAAGAATCTCACATATGCCCTTTATATTTTAAATCGTTTGGATCGTACAACAAGTTTAACATTGTGCCATCATTTGAGTTTTTATCTAGAGGAATCGCTGGAATTTCTAAAAAAATTGCACAAACACTAACTTTTTTCTCGCATGATATCGGACGAGAATTAGCCCACAGGTCCTTTTTTGTGATATCGAAGAGTAGGCTGGCTTATAGGCAACACCGTTCATTGTACCCTTCACGTTGAATCAGGTGAAAACCTCGGAATTCGTAGCTATGTCTCGTTGCTTAGTATAAAAAAATTATGGAAGATGGGATGATCAAGATTGACTTACACTGCATATATTACCATACAGTGTACCTGGCTTACTATACTTCCCTCGATTTCGCTGCCATTTTCCCGATCTACGCCATCCTATAATAAATGTTTGAATTATGCCCTAAGGTACCGATAACCCTGAGGCTCTTGCCTGAGAGATATAGTTTATGAATATTTTGTAGTAAACCGTTTTGTGAATTGAGCAATTATTTTCTAAACTTATTCCCAGACAGGGATTGCAATAGATTAAACTATAAATAAATCAGCCAATATAGCCCGAGGTCATTAAAGGTCTTATGCTGTAGGTTTTTCCCACTTATATGCATATAACTCATTTGATTAAGTTCCTAGTCAACCATTACCAATCATTAATTAGTTTGATTTGGTTGCCCGATCTGCATTTGTATTCAAGAGTAACTGAATGCTTCGAAACACCACTTACTAGTTTGGGTTGAATGCCCCGCTCTGTATTTGTATCATCATTCATGGGCGCCAGGCTTTTCTTTCGCTTC